ATATATATATATATATATATAAATACACATATATAGGCAGGCATCATAAAATATTATAAACAGTTACGTCTATACTTAAACCTGCATGCCAGAAAAATCTGTTTTATTGACAGTATTATAATGTTTGAAATTTGAGTTTTATATACTTATCTAGAAGTTACAAGTGACCAAAACATATAATACTCCAGTTAAGTATTTTGAAAACTTCCTACCTCAGTCAAATCATCAACATGAGAATTTTTTAATTCTAAGAAATTCTTAAGCAAACTATCTGCAAGTCAAAATAATAATAACGTTGAATTTCTGAGAATTGTTTACGACAATGAAATAATTTGTTTTTTATTACAGATTAAACATTGAAGTGTTTCAATGATACTTTATAGTATTACAGATAACATGAATATTCATGTAGTGAATTCTAGGTCTTCACTTTTTACTTGAAAACAGATGACGAGAAACAAACCTGGAGAAGAACAAGATCCACAGACCCAGCTAATGGTAGGTTAGCAAATTAAAACTTGGGAAATAAAGTTTGATTTCTTTTAGGGCTTAGATGTCATAATAAATTATTTTTCAGATTATTAAACCTTTGAAAGAATATTTTATAAGGTTTCTTAAAATAGTGCTACAAATTTTTACATATGATGAAGTCAGAGAGTATTTAAATACTCAAGTTTTAAAATATATTATAAAAGTACATTTTACATGTACGACTCATTGATACTATCAGCATTTAGAATTGTTCATAAAGCTTACACATTTCTGATGTCTCATGTTAAGCACAAAGTACAGAAACACTAACCTGGACTAGTTAAGTTTATTTTATCACTTGTATTATAATTTTTCATAGTTAAGCAGAAAATTTTGAATTGCAAAACCTACTTACCTCCTCTCACACTTACAGCTATTACTCAACTGCCAGGGTTTCTTCTTTTGCCCATCTAAGCATTGATCTGATTTTTTTTGGCTTGCTCCAGTCTTTTATACCCCACTTAATTGTCCTTGGCAATATTTGTCTTGTGTTTGTTTATTTGTTTTTAATTATGCACAAAGCTACACAAGGGCTATCTGTGCTCTGCCCACCACGGGTATCGAAACCCGGATTCTAGCGTTGTAAGTCCGCAGACATACCGCTGTACCACTGGGGAGCATTTGTCTTGTGACACTCTCCACCTAGGTCAATGCACCCTCTATTCTGGTACTGTATATAAGCACCTCATTCAGATAATGTATCACTTTTTCTTGACAGAGCATCACTAATAGGTTTTCTAGTACTATGATCATTTGGAGATGCTTTGAATGTTCTTTGTGTCACCTAGTTGGTTGAGACTTTCAGTGATCTTATTCGTTTTGAGATGGAGACATATATATTTGGTTCTGTGGTGTTCCTCTGGGAGGCTCTGAGGCTGCCATTGGCATCAGTGATTATTGTATGCCTTCAGGGTATGTAGGGGCTCAGCTATGAAAGTTTCTGGATGTGTGGTAACCTTAACCATGGATCCAGGAGCGCTATAGGTCCTTGAGTCAGGATTAGTCATTCAGTTCACATCTTCACTACTATTATCCAACCAAACTGTAGAGTTTCTGTCTCCCGCAGATCCTCGGGATTTGGAACTTAGTTCTAGGGCTATCAGAGTTTGGTTGTTCTAGGGATAGTGAGAGTCATGCTAGTTCTTTGAGGTTTTATTCCCATCAGTTGTAGGGCCTAAGAAGACAGGAAATTGGTGTTCAGTTATCGATCTTTCTCGTCTGTATCAATGCCTAGATTCTCCAAGGTTCATGAGTTACTCATTCCTCAATCTAAGTTGATATTTTTTACTGGGATTGTGGATGTACAAGTTTGTTGTAGTTGGCTCCTATCTGCACATTGCCACAGTGGTGGCCTCCCACTACTGTTGGTATTTTTGTACACATGGGTTAGGTACTGTAGTTCCGTGTTTTCACCTTCAAACTTGCATCGGCATCACATGGGTTCTGCCATTCATATGAGTGTTTTTCTCATCACTTCAATTCCATAACACTGTGCACACACTATTCCATAGACGATTGGTTACTGCTGGCACCATCTTGTTAATTGTCAGAACATCACATCCTGATTCTACTTTCAGAAACAACCAAGACAGGCTTTATTCTCAGGGCTGAGACATCTATTTCTTTTTCCAATTCAATATGTCATCAGTTTGGGTATTTTTATTTTTATCTTGTTTCTCAGTAGGTCTCAGCTGACTCCCATCAAGCTCCATGCTATGAAATAGGAAGCCTGACTGTTACTCACATTTCCTTCTCTCACTGAATGGATGGTTCTTTTTCTTCTGAGTATGTGGGCATCACTCGAATCCCTCATGCCTGTGGGACGAGAGAGCACAAGAGATAATTTTAATGATATTTATGTGCCCAAGGGATCATAAACATCTATTCACTGAATTCCCCAGTTTCCTTAGTCAGGATCATTCTTCAGTCTCAAGAGATTGTTAAGTCATGACACTACTAAGATATGGGTTCCTCTACCCCCACCTCATTCAGAGTTCCATCTCTACATGAATGCCTTGCTTCAGGGATGGAAGCATATACCAACAGTCAGGATTTTGAGGGTCTACACACGAATGATGTGGCTTCCCTACACAATGTTTTAGTCTTTCTTGCTCTTCAGAAGGCAATGCCTCATGGTCTGAGCTTATTAAGTGAAACATTGTCAGACTTCACTCTACAATTCCGTGGTAGTGGCTTGTGTTTCTCATACAAGAGTCACTTGGTCCAGGGCTCTTTGTTTTCAAATCTTGGACCTTCTTTCTCTGGACCACTCCTATCATATCACCCTATTAGCTTGCCATGTTCCACAGGTGATGCCTGTGGTAGCAAATCAATTTTCTCAACCCACACAAATTTTCCCAACAGAATTGGTGCTGCATTGTAAGGTTCTGTTGGATTGGTTATCATTTTGCAACTCTGATTGGCGGGTTGGCCTCTCATTGGAACAACCAACTATTAGTAATTTGGTCTCCAGTATCTCACCTTTGGGCTTTGGCAAAGGATGCATTCCATCAGGATAGGATGGGATTACAACTCTAGGCTTTTTCTCTAATTCATATTTTACCCAGGGCACTAAATATGATTCGTTCCAACCCATTGTTGGGTCCTGTTGATAGCACCAGATTGGCAGCTACTCTCTACTTTTGTGGTAACTTCCGCAGTGTCTACCTTTTCCACTTCTTTTTAGGCCATCTCTGTGGGGGCAGCCATGATCTGACATGGTACACCCAGCTATCCAGAAGCTGAAGCTTCAGATATAGAGGTTATGCAGTCTTTCGCATGGCATCAGGGGTTTAATTTCTACAGTTGCCATGTATCTGTCTCAGTCTTTACTTAGTCCCTCGATGAACATTTATCACCAGAAATGACACAGATATCAACAATGGCGTATTGAAAGGAGATTGAACCAACTTCAATCAGAAGTGCCAACCATAACTCTTTTTGACCTGGCTCTTTGGCAAGGGTTTTTTAATTTTCCACAATCACCCTGTATAAGGCAGCCTTATTGACTACTGTTCAATACTCGTGACAAAATATTCTTTGAGCCCCCAGTACTTTCCAGACTCCTCAAGTTGCTTTGGGTCCTTGGTCCCAAATGATCATTCCAGTTACTTAACTGGTATATTAAGGTTACATTACATGCCCTTTTTCAACACATGTTTGTGACATGACTATCATATGCCATGTATCACCATTACCTGAAGGTTTGTTTTTCATTACTACTGACCTACAGACATTGCCGGTTGGAGTGGTTTGCGTTGTTTGTCCATAGACTGTTTTATCATTCTATCTATGTTCTCAGACTGGTTCTTCTTATCCAACACTTTGTTAGGCAGGGAAGAGAATAAATCCTTTTCAGTGATTCATCTGATCACTATTTCTCACTTTTATGTCTGATCAGATTTTGACTGTTGTCATGTTCAGTGAGGGTCTTAAAGGTTTTGTTGCCCATGCTAATGCCTTTAGAGATGCTAGATAATGACTTTTTATTCTGTGCTCTATTTGAAGGTGAGGAATCTTCTGCAAGTCACATCTAATCAGATGTGTCACATTTCTTTGTCCTTAGCGGCCCAGTTGAATTGTCCACTGGAGGACATTGTGTGGACTGGTATGTGAACCTCCCCCAGTACTTTTATTTCATATTATTTGCATGATCTTTTTACCTAACCCCTTTAGCTATCTTAACCACTTGAGCTAGATCATACAGAGGGGTGAATATTTTCTTTGCTACCTTTCAGGGTCCTTTACCTCTTTTTCATAGGATCCCACTGTGTGGTAAGTGTTGCCCAGGCAAGTGTGCTTTTTTTTTCAAACCAATTCTGCACTATAAAACACTAATTCAGAATACTTTATACAGGTTGCAATAGGCTTTGTAGAAATGAGGTGTTCCATAAGACCACCTAGAGGCTGACCGTGTGGTATTACTGTACTATGCTGGACTATCATGAGTAAAGGTAAAGATGATCCTGCCCATTCATCTCAATCATTAGATTGAATAAATCAGGATTGGTTTGCTTTTAAAAATTTAGGGAACTTGATTCACCTATTGCACTGTTTCTCAGGTCTCCCCAACACGCATTACCCCCCCCCCCCTAGATTCTACTAGTAAAGCTAGGGAGTCCTTACCACACCCAGTTTCTATTCACTGTGGTGGTGGACAGAGGCTTTTCCTCCAGAATGTTAGAGGCAATTCCTCTACTCTTGAAGAAGAGGGCCCTCCTACCCAGGTCCATGGATGTTTTTTCCCAGATGTCAATAGGAGAGGCACCAGCCTATGCGGGAGCCTACTCATAATACTGGTTCAGATTTGATGCTCGGTTATCCGGTTGGGTTGGGCATGGCCCTTCTTTTTGATCAATATTGGCTTAGTTCATTGTTCATGGAAGAGTGTCCATTGTCTCCTCGTAATTCCAAATGCAGAGGGGGTCACATCATGGGTTCTTGGTTGAGCACAGTTTTGTCCATGTCCTTACCTTCTCACTGTGGTTCCAGTGCTCAAAATGCATCACTCTATGGCTACAGGTTGGAATCTGCTCATAAGTATATATATATATACATATATGTATATAGATTGT